AAATGGACGCTCTGATATCAGAGTCCTCCTGGAACTTATCATGCAAGCTGCTTATGGATTTGCTTGAGGGAAGAAATACGAGTTTCTACATTGAAATGTATCAAACAGTTTCTGAGAACAGTGTAAAAACTTCATTTTTCATTCTACCCAGAAAAAACATCCTGCTGTGAGCGATGAGTTGGGCTTGGAAACTGAGTAAAAATGAACGTTCCCTGTCAGCGGATAATTTGTGGCAAACGTTTGCCTCTGAGGATTTTGGGGACTGTTTGCATGCAGGATGAGGTCATGTAAAGGTGGCAGGAAAACAACAGCATGACCACTCCGATGTTTTATTTACCCTCTGTGCCACCCATGAAGAAAATGTGGGTGGCAGGTCACCGGGGGGAAGTATACAGGAGAGAGAGAGAGAGAGAGAGAGAGAGAGAGACACGACAGCACAAACGATCTCTGTACAATATGACCACGAACCTCCATTTTCTTTTGTTTAAAATGGAAAATCACAACACTCATTGCATCACTCCTGATAAATAGAATATATTTTTTCTCTACTCTGCTTTACACATTCTCAGCAAGAAAACAAAAACCAGTTCATACATTCATCATTGACGGATTTCCATTCAGACTTCTCTATAAATGGTGTCACATTTAAATACACTCTTACATCAATGCTGACACATCAACACCTCTGTGTTGAGCGCACGCAATTTAACTTTTTATCTTAAGCTAATTTAAATTCTTTGGTGAGGTTAAGGAAGCAAAAGTGTTCTTTTGCAAGGCTCTTTCCCTAAAAAGAAGATGTAATAATGTCCAAGAATAAGCAAAAAGGAGATGATAAGAGAATAAAACCAACAGAGAAGGGAATGTTGTGAGGAGACAAGCAGCAAGAGAGGAGGATCGTCAGATGAAAGACGAAGAGGAGGTGAAAAAGAAGTGAGAAGAGAAAAGGCAGCCAGGAGGATCACCCTATCTGAGGGTAAACAACCACCAGCTCATGTGAGAGTGTTTCTCGGAGATGACAGAAGACTGACGGCTGAAATGAAAACCACCATTTGCTGTACGCTGCTCCGGACTGGCAAAGATTTCTGAGGCAGCCACACATAATGACGTTAAAACAGAATTATTCTGCCTGATCCCGCCTTTCCTGCTCTCTCCCTCCATATTCAACAACAACAACAACAAAATCTATCAGTGCTGTAGTTAATCCTCCACTGTGGGATCCAGAAGCATGGAGCTGGGGCAGAACTCTCCTGCTTTATGAGTGTTTTTCAATCATTTCTTCAAACAGCCAGCTCGGGGTAGCTCTCATCGAGTGCAATTAGATCTGCACCGTGCAATTTCACACATCGGAGCGCCCACATGGCAGCGAGAGGAAACCGCTGAAAGTTTTGACAACCTCGACGCCCCGCAGATATGGAATGTTATTTTTGTAAAGTGTGTCGTTTTCTGACCTATATGTTATCTTATTAGTGTAGTGGGTGTTTGGGAATAACTGGATTTAAATGTATCTGAGTGGAACTTTCTCTGGATCCTTTTGCTCCTGAGACTGAATGTATCTCCTCCAGAGCTGGAAGTGTTTGGACAGCTCACAGCAAACTTTACTTTGCATCAGTAGGATATCTTTTCATCCTCCTCTGTCTGTGTGAGGGAGCATTTAATCTTTTCTCATCGGGCTGTCCTTGATGTGATCCTCCATGCACACCAATGCTTCCCAGCGAGGAATGGATTTTTTCTTAGCTGACTGCTAAAACTATTAAAAGATACACAAAGGCACTAATGATATTCACTTGTGCTAATTATCTAAAAGGTTGTGTTGCTGGCTTGTTTTAGTGTTCCACTCATGCAGCTAGCCACGCTTATTGTTGTTAATTCAAAACTACTGTATGCCAAAGAAAATGCTTGAGAGCAATGGATGTGCCAATTAGACCCATTTCTTCTTTGATATGCCTCAAGAATAAGTTTACAAATGACAGATGGAAGGTCAAGTACAGAATTCACCAGGAAAAATAGGACCGGTCAAACATTAAAATTAAAATTTGACCTTTTATCTGTGAGGTAGAGCAATAGAAAAAAAAACTAATCCTAAAGTTAACCCCATATAACATATAGCATGCTATGGCCTTGCTAGCCACATTTCCTATCTTCCTCGCCTCTATTTGCACACCAGACCCTAAAACTGAAAGACACTGAAAGCATATTCAGAATGCTTTTATAAGAGCAGTGTCATCTGACAAAACCACTATTTCAGAAAGTTAAAAGGAATTAAAGTGTAATTGATGTGAAGTGAAATCAGCTACACTTAAAGTTGGAAGTCACAGAATAAACCGTTTCTTATGCGGTCCAATGTGTCTCTGCCTAGCACAAATTATAACTTGATGTTCCTTCCTGTTCTGTACTGAGGGAACACCATAATCGTTCCATAAAAAGCTCACGTTGAGCCGTAACTGATACTCGACTGTAAGTATTTAGAATCACAATTAAAATACAGAATCACTGAATCTCTGAAAATCACTTTTCTTTTCTTTATTTTTTACAAGCTGCTAAACAAAAAGTAAATCTTCTGCATGCTGCTGATCACACATAAAGACCAAACTCTGATAGACAGCTTCATTAGCATGAGGAGTGTGTATACTGAAGCAGGCTGAACAATATTTGGGTTTAATTGCAAAAAAATATAAGGATTGATAACAGCTTCACTGTGATGGATAGCATCATTATGACATGGTTAATGGTTTGCTTGTGACTTTGCTCTAAATCAGGCTATAGAGACAACAGTTGCATTCAAGTTGAAACATAGCAATTCATCGTTTTTAGGAAGTTGAAATGTTGCTAACTGTCTTTGAGCTGGGATGATGATCATTATTGTTTTTTAGAGGTGTTGAATTTTGATGGGGCAGTATGGACAATGGATGAATAGATCTGAATAAAAGAAACACAGATTTGTAAATGTAAAGATGGACAAACACTCTGGCAAAGCAAACAGAATTTTATGGTACATGTTGGTATTTCTGTTTGGAAACGTGTAACTTGCATCTGTAGGTTGATTTTTCTCTGGGATATGAACCAACTCTGAGGAGAGTGTCTGCACAGAATACCTAACAGAGTGCAGATATCCTCCTTTCTGCAGGTTTGATCACCCAAGTAATGGCATATGATCATTTTTAAGGCACGTTATTGAGTGCAGAACTCAGCATCGCGGCAGTCATTAGTGCTTTTAGATAGAGTGGGAGAGGCAGAACGTGTCTGAGCTGCTTTCAGCCCAGGAACACAATGGAATTTGGGCATTTGTTTCTTAGCAAAGAATGACAGACACGCCAAAACCTCAACGTTGTGTTGGATTCGGGGGTGCGTATGACTCAGAGGACTTACAACAGATTTCATCTTCAAGACAACCGAGCACCAAAACTAAAAAGTAGAGAGTTACACCAAAGTTAAAGCTCGTATTGTCTGTAATAAAGCAAAGCATCTCATTTTCCATCCCTCCTGAACCTGCCGTATTGATTAAGAATCCTCACGGCTCTGACTTCTCTCATTAGGCTTCAGCTAACTTTAGCACTCACAGGGAACTCTAACAGGCTCCATTATGGATTAGGTCATTACAGCTAAAATAAACTGGCCCTGTTTTGCAGGCTCCTGCTCGTACAGGGCTGGCTCTCTGTCATGGGTAGTTACACGCACTCCTGCTGAGCCTGTGGATTGTTATATGACTCTCGCCTAATAGTGCAAACAGGAGGGAAAACATACCTTAATGGGTAAATCCATTCAGAATGAATAGGCGACGTACAGTATCCATATAAAAAGAGTCCTGTAATGAGTTTGTATATAGTGAACGCTGCGATTTCTAAAATTAGAGAAAGAACTGGGTCTTATGTAAGCAGATTTATGTTTACTTAAGAACTAATTCTCCACAGATGCATCCGGAAACTCTCGATCCTTTTAAGATGAGCAAAAACACTCAGAAAAGACTCGTTCTTTACCTGCTTATTAGAGTTTTTTGTATTCATTTGAGTTTTTGAGGGCACCTCAATTGTTAACAAAGTCTCAGGCTCCCCATCAACAGAATCAGGAGGCTGATACTTGATTACATTATTTTCTCTGTATACTCAAAAGCTTTTTAACCTGTGGAGTGGGGATTCCTCTGTTTGGTGGACTAAATCAAACAAACAAGGCTTCGTGATGTTGAAACAGTGGAGGACTTATGGTCTGAGCCCAAACAAAGCCCTAATACAAACCAAAGCCAGTCACCTGCTCAGAGTGGTTCGCATTCAAAACACCAACAGACGCCCTGCTAAAATATGCTATCTATCAAGAACAGTGGAGTGGTTTATGTTTGGCCCAGACCTGCAGGTGGAGGGTAACGCTTCCACTGTACACACAAACTAATGCATAAACACGTGTAATCACAAAGATTTCCTAACCATCACAGGATTCCCGGCAACTGTTAGTAGATGTCTCAATTTCCCCGGTGAATGACCTCAGTCTGACCAGACCTGTTAGTACAGAGGTGTGAGCACACGTACCTGTCTCAACTTTAGAGTGGTCGGTTCTCTCTGTGACCTTCTCCTGGCTGATCAGATAATCGACGATCCGCACGCCGATTGGTGGCTCTGTGTGGTTCCAGTCCATGATGACCAATGAGCTGCTGGGCTCGTAGGTGTAGGACAGCTTCAGCCTGGTAACAGAGGGACAGATATGTTCGATGCTTCTCTGAGAGATCCTGACAGTAAAACGGCCTCATTACTGTAATTGGCAGCTTACATCATCCTTTTCTAGTATCACAAACACTTGTGTCAAGAGGAAATATTCTCATTTACCCCTGAAAGTCTAACTCAATCGAATGTCCAGAGATCTTTATGCCATCCAATCAATACAAAGCAGTACATTGAATTGATTTGCAAACTCATAACAGACAGGAGAAATAAACCATTGATCTCTGAAATGTGTGCTCACCAAATCCTGTGTAAGCAGGAGATAGGTTTTACTCAGTAAACCGGTGGGCAGAATTAATTAAAACCCTGAGAGAGCTGAACTGAGAGAAGGAAGCATTTCACTGACATGGGCTGAGGAAGTGGGGCGCAGGTGGGAAGTCCGTCCGAGCCAAAAGCGCTGGAGTCACATCGACACCAGTCGTCGATGACGTCCCCTTTACCCGAGCACCACAGCATGCTCATCATCGCCTCCTGAAGAGCCTGTGGAGACAGAGGCGGTGCAGGGGAAGTTTCACATGTGCGAATTTGTTCAGATCAATTATATTGTTCTTTTTTGTTAAGTTTAGAGTGAGAAAGAGAAAAAAAAAAATCTGCCGAGGACAGATAGGGACTAGCAACAGTCACACTCCGGTCGTAGGGCTGAAGGGAGCGAGACCAGGATGATTACCACGACAAGACCGAGAGACACCTAAATAAGGCTATAGAAATGTTAGATAAAAAAAAAATCAATGATAGAATTAAGTTAATAAATGATGATGATAGGGATAATAATGATAACGAACAACAATACTTATCTAAAGGCTAGGTTAAAAAAAAAGTCCCATTCACTAGTGAAACGAACTTAAAGGGAATCTTCTAAAAACATGCAAGAAGATCACTACTAGAAGAGAATAAACTATTTGTTGCATCAGAGGGCGGAGTCAGATGGAAAAACCAGTGCCAGTAAGAACAGCCCCACCATACTTTTAATCATAAAGTCGCCTCTGTTATGTCTCTACAGGATCTGCACAAACATCTACAGGTGACCTCCAAAAACAGGCAAACAGCCTGTGCCAGTCTCTGCAGTGCTTTCTGAGAGAGCTGGAGGATGAAAGGGGGGGGGGGGGCAGCGCTGCATCAACCTTTTGTTCCCTCTGGAGGAGCAGGGGCAGCATTGACATACTGTATTGATGGAGGGGAGTAAATCACAGCGGTCTCCAGCTGAGAGAGGCGGGCTCACAGACAGGGAGAGACTTCTCTGTAAAACCTCTTTGTGTCCATGACCTGGTTTATAATGAAGCCACGAGCTTTGGGATCTCACACACGCTCCCTGGTTCTGATACAGGGATACCGAGGGCCTCGTTGCAGGGTGCCAGAATCTGTGCTATTCCATGATCTCACAGCCAAACTTTTCAAATCGACTATTAATTGCTTATATACGGCTCCAGCTTTGGTGCCGATATGAAGGAGAAGATTTCCCACATCCATGTGAAAAAACCCTGATGTGAAAACAAAGGACAAGAGCGCACTGGAGAAGACACACCGAGATGATGAATGACAGAATGAAACATTCTGCTGTGGATATTGGAGGACTGTTCCACGTACCTGGTACGTCTCATTGTTGGACACCAACTCGTAGATGGGCGCCGCCTTGGTGATTTTCAGCAGCACGGGCTCGGACTGCTGCCGGCCTGTGGACACTCTGGGGCTCATGTGGCAGAGGTGGCAGGAGCGGGGGCACTGACCCTGGCTGCTGCAGTCCATCCGGACGCCGGCCGCCATCCGTTTGGCTCCGGTGTCCAGCAGGCTGGCCACGTACGCCGGGTAGGTCAGGGTCCTGGGCTCCTTGTCACGCTCCTCAGACTCCTCTGACGGAGAGTTGCCTGAACGACAGAGGTGTGAGACAAATGAACTAATGCAACTGGAAAACAAAGAACTTTCAAAGGTCTTGAAGCCATGGAAAATAAGCCTGTAAAGGCACTGTAGCCCTGAGAGAAAGGGGAATCAAAACTTTATCAGAGATATCTTTTCTGCTGCACCAGCGTGAGAAAACAACAAAGCAATAATGTGCTCCCAAAATACCAATATCTTCTTCTGGAGACATTATAGCCTTTTTCCATCAGAGGCAGAATCCATGAGCAGAAGTGTAAATATTTGCTCCATGGCAACAAAGGCTCTATATGCGCCCAACAATGAAATGTTTGCACTGTATTGACGTGCTGCTGCTAAATAAAACTCCATCGACTTTGCTGTGTCTTTCCTGCTCGGGTTAGAAAAACAGAGAAAGGTGAGATGGAACCTTAGTGTTTCTTGTCAATGCTGTACAGCAATTATAGGCCGGACGTGACTTTAAAAATTTAAGGGAAACTCTCCTTCTCGAGCACTACAGAATTAGTGGTGAATAAAAAGAAGACCAAGCTCCTGAGGACAACTGACCAAGCTCGTGTGAGACAACATTTTATTGCGGGATTGAATTGTTAATGTCTAACTTAAAGTCGTGTTATTATTCAAACATAAACCAAATATTAACTCTGAACTAAAAACATTCAACCCTTTAAAGTCTTTAAGATAGATAGAAAAATTGTGTTTTTTAAGTATGAAAAAAATGGCAATTGTAAAAGGAACATTAGATATCATTGCAATACAACGTTTTACTAGATTAATTATTATTAGTCTGCTTACATAGTGATATATGTTTCATAAGTTTCTGTTTTTCCAACAAAGTGAAACAGGGGTTGCTCAGACCTCTGACAATGCTCTTCTACATTAAAAGGGAGAATCTTCCAGATAAGCATTTTGGGAGCCTGGCTGTATGTGCACAAACACAGGCAATTTAACATCTCAAGCACCAATTAGGGAATAGACTTGTTGTGCAAGCTGATATTGATGAAATACAATTCATTTTATGAGCTCGGGGACAATGGGAGAAAAATATGCACACAAAATCAGTTGTGCACAAAAAGGAGAGCAAGAATTCACAATCGGAGCAACTTCACAGCATTATTGTTTACTTAAGGAATCAGATACAAAATGAAACAACACAGAGCCAATTATATTGGAGTGTATCCCCCCCCCCACACACACACACACAACCATCTCATCTGTGTGTAAGTGCCGATCATAACGATCAATGTTTGTCAGGCAAATGTTTGCTAACGAGAACGCCGTGTCCACTTGAGAGGTGTGATCAGCTCTGTGCTCAGAAATGTGTTCCTGCTGCCTGTAAAAAGTTCTTTAAAGTTCAGTGATCAAAAACCTTGCGTTCTACAGCCAAGAACAAAGTACACATCGGTAAAAGAACACCAGAATGTTCCCCGTCTAATAAAATCTTTAAGTGATTATTCTTTTACAAAAACAGCTCTGATAGGTATTTTTCTTCTATGGTTTGGAGTGTCAATAATGTAATTATTGCTGTTATCTAACTGGTCCACTAATGTTGTTCTAAGAAATGTTAAGGTAAATGATGTCTGACTGAGGACCAAATCACAACAACTGAGAAAAAATCTAATCCTGGATGTTTTAACTGGTTCACCTGGATCATCATGACAGCCCTTTGATGGTAAAGAGTGGAAATAAATCACTGACAGAAGACAGAATTAAAGAAAACCTCTAGCTCTTAAGAAGGTGAGGCGGTTTTTTGTGGGAGCAACGGGGTTACTAAATATTTGCATTCACAGAGTGAATGCGGCCAGGGATGTCCATGCCTTTGGACTCCTGATCAGCCAAACTTTAATCTAGCCCTGTCAAGCTGGCCCACTTCCCACTAATCACTTCTCATCTTTCTATCTTCACTTGCCACCTTTTGGCAGATGGAAATTGAATGTGGCAGTTATATTAGGCCAAGCGGGAGTATTTTAGGGGAAATAGAATTGCCAATGATTAGTTGAGTTTAGTTTTGGTTTGGTTGGTCAGTGATCACTGTCAGCAGAGAGACCAGCCTGACCTGAGGACACCCCAGAGCCAAAAACAGCATTTTCACACAATCCTCATGTCAAGTTCCCATATAAGGGACAAAGTATAAGGCAGAGACAGTATATAGTTGCTCTAAAAAAGATATAACATGATAAGGATAATGATGCACAAGCTAATTCTTTCCTCAGCTCACTAATATATTGTTTTTGGATTAATTCTCGTCCTGTAATTACTGCATGTTTTAAACGTAAAGACAGTTCTGCAAAAATTAAAGGTAATTTTGTTGCACTATTCCAGGTTTATCTGCCTCTCTTCTTCTCAAAATGGACAGTAAAAACAGCAACAAATGGCAATGCTTCATTGAATGCTTCATTGGGAATTTTCTCAGGTCTTGCAACAACCAGACTTTGCCTCCTGTTGACTACTGAAGGAACTTTAGTTTGCTTTAGTTTGACTTTTCAGATGTTGATATCATGCATTTAGGGCCAAATCTTTTACTAAAGACAACTATTTTCCCAATAGTAGAGCTGCTTGTTCCAAATAGTGGATATTCATCTTGAGAAACAGATCTACTCTGTCTGAATTCAAATTAGAAATGAATGGGGGGAAAATAGGTTTGATGAATTGTCATGAAATTCAGAAAATCCATTCAGGTGAGGCACAACTAACTGTCAGTCCCTGTTCAGGCTTTTTGAATGCCCAAAGGAATGAATCAGTACTACAAAGATTTCATATTTCTTAAAGTTGGACAGACATTTTTAAGTCATTCACAGTTAAACCTAGCCACTTCCTCTAAGAGGGACAAAATGTTCCTCCAGATCATTATATGAAAATTTCTGTTTGTGATTTATGTCACATTAGGCTCATCCAGGTAGTTAATCTGGCTGGGAGCAATTTCTTAACTCAAATTGTGTGATTCACGACTTTGACCTGCAAATAGAGCCATGACAGGGTGCTTTTTGTTTTATGGGTTTCTGTGTGTGTGGTAAGTCTCATTCAACAACATTCATAAAACACATGCCAAGCAAGGCATCATGTTTTAAGATGATTTTCTCTAGACCGTATTAGTATTACCAAAGCTGCCATGTGAGCTTCTGACCTTTGAATTAATATTCTAGAGGAAGAGGACTCACAAGTATGCTTGTACATGAAGAAAGAATAGTCTTAATATCCCGAGAGCACAGATGAACGTGTGATGGGGAACATTTGTTCCCTTTATTTGAACATCTCTGTACAAACTATTTATCCCCCACAGTGAGCGATGGGCCATAGATGTGAGGAATGAAAGACTTTTCAACCGATTTCTTCTCCTGTCGCACAAAAGGAAGCAAGACAGCAACGGGCTTTTCTTTGAACATTTCCCAATGTCTTTCTCTTTTCTTGTTGCTAGTCTCAACCTTTTTGTCTCTTTTGCCACGTCTCGTCTTTGTGCTTCCCCTGTCACTCTCGCTAAACAATATGCCTCAATCACGTCCTGTCTTGCCCACAGTGGCAGTGGATGTGTGAAGAGGGAAGTGTCAAGTACCACACTTGTGTTATGCTCTCTGCATCTTACATTAAAGAACCAAAGAAATTAACCTGAGTTTGTACATTTTTTGCTTTGACTTTTCATTTAAGCCACATTCATCTCTGCTAAAAAAAAAATGGATGGTGGATTAATAGAATTATCTGAGGAACTACTCTGCTGTCAGCTGAAACACTTTTTAAATCATATCAAGCACAACATCAGTTTGAAGAATCGTGAAATGCACAGCCGAGAAAATTAGGCACAGATGGACATACAGCCTGCAGAAAGCAATGTGTGTCTAACACAGTTAGACGTCTCCCCGAAGAAAGTGATAGCAATACAGGAAAAAAAGGAAAGAAAAAGGCACTTTTATACCCTCCTCGTTCGCTTCAAACTTCCCAAAATACAATTTTGGATCCAATTTTTCTGGGACGCTGGTTAATTCGATCTGTTCCTGACCACAAGGGTAGAGTACAGCGTCCTCCTGAGAGTGTGTGTTTATTAGACTTTGTTTGTGATAATCTTGAGCTAGCATTCATGTCTAGTTGTGCTAACATGATTTAGGTCAGTCCTCACTTTTTAAGGGCATCTAATTTGTTGCAAGATATTAGGTTCAGCATAAAAGATGACCTAGTGTTTCTTGTGCATGTAGGTATGGATAAACCCCATCTTACATTCCAGATGCTGCTCAGTTCTTCTGATATGTTTTTTATTTTTATTTTTGCTGGCTATTTTTTTGTCCTGGGTAATCTGTTTATCTGTATTTAAATAAAAGAAACCAGCTGGTAACTGAAACAAGACAGGCTGATGAATTTTTGTCCCATTGTGGTAAAAACAGTCCATCTTAAAAGCAAGCTAACAGCTTTCCAGTTCCCATCTTTCACTGCAGCTTTTGAAATAGATCTATATATTTACATGAGTTTAGAAATGTAAACAGATAAAAGTAATTTAATAGGAGGCAAAGAACGAGGCAACGGGGCAAACTTACACAGGTGGAGCACTTTTTCTACGCTTTGGGTGAAATGAGTGCTGCCATAAAAACACTACGAGCCACCAAACTGTAAACAGCAAGTAAACATAATCAGAAAATATCTGTTTGTGTGCTTAACTGTAGTGTTTGCATCTGTACGGATAAAGTTATGAATTTAGAGCTGCTCTGACCCACACTGTGGGGTCGAATGACTCATCCCATGTCTGACTCAACTCATCTCTGTACTACACAACAGATGGAGCTTGGAGCTATTCAGACTCATATAATACCACTCCATCCAACCCTTCCTCCTACACTCTCCAATCAGATATAACTCCTGTTCATCCACCACCGACTCACTCAAGTCCATCCTTCTGTTTACAGAAATAGGCTTTGGAGTTTGGATGAATGCTAAGAAAAGAGAATAAGGAGAAGCACAGGGGTAGACGGCATAAGACACGGAGTGAAAGCTTTCATTTCCTGCCTGTTCTCTTTGTAATGCCTTTAACCAGAGCTCTTTGTGAAACACCGATTCATTAAAGC